CTCATATTTAGAGTTACTTAATATGACCATCCCTATCCAATGAGGCAGTCTCTACATTTTTTCCCCATACTCTGAGACACATACTCACACATACACACTTAAGATACTTGCACGCAAAAATTGGGGCCCTCAAGGAAATTCAGGATATGTGTTTATTTTTGTCCTATCCTATACTTTCCTCCTGTACCAGTCAATATTTATTTTTCTTTTCTTTTCTTTTTTTTCCTGAGATAGGGTCTTGCTTTGTTGCCCAAGCTGGAGTGCAGCAGCATGATCACAGCTCACTGCAGCCTCAATCCCCCTCACTCAAGCAACCCTCTTTCCTCAGCATCCTACATAGCTATGACTGCAGGCATGCACCACCATCCATGGCTAATTTTTTTGAATTTTTGTAGATAAGGGGTCTCACTATATTGCCCAGGCTGGTCTTGAACCCCTGAGCTCAAATAATCCTCCCGTCTCAGCCTCTCAAAGTGCTGGGATTATAGGCATGAACAACTATATTCAGTGCTATTCAATATTTCTTTAGGGGCCACTAGAGGCTTACCTCCTCTGTGAAGTATTTCCTAATGACTTGTGCCCCAGTGCTTATCTTTCTCCTGCCATGAAATCCTACATTGATCCTTCATGAAGTGAACCATAGCACTTCATACACCTGTATTCCCTAAGTATTGTATGTACCTACATCTTGTTGCCCAAAAAACTTCCTGAAAGAAACTGTGTTTTCTTGCATCTTTTGTGTGCCTCATTATATCTAGAAAAGGGTTAGACATATCATCGTTAGTCTATTAGTAACTGGTGATTAATCTTGAAATGTTCTAATATTTATACACCCTATTTGACAGTCATAAGATTAATATTTTCAACATCTGCAACATACTCTGAATTATATAGGAAAAGTCTAAGTGTCATAATGTATAATGTTATTGAATTAAAAGTAACAGTCATAAATATTTACAATGATATTCCTACTACAATACTATGATTTTACTTTTCTGTCATCTTTAACAAGAGATGTCATAACTCCATTGGGAATGGTGATAATCAGTTCAGATGGAATTACTTGTGCAACCAAGCACAATAGGGTGATCCTTCCGGGGTACCATTTATCACTTTTTTCTTTAAAAATGGCTTTTCTCTTTCTAAATGAGTTCCATTTGTCACATGGGAAGGCCTCCAGTAGAATCCTTGTGCTTCTGAAGAATGAGGCTTTTATTTACTCTCTATGGCTTTTTAAATTGATGACTCACCTGCACTTAATATGTATGCTCCATCTTTAGAATCTCAGGCTGAGGTCACTCTGAGCGAGGCTGCCCAGTGAAACCTCACACCATCAAAATGGTCAGCGGGCTGAGAATGGCATGTCTTTGCTAAGTTTAGGAGACAACAGAGAGACAGGTTGCTTTCTTATTAAAATCAGGACCAGATCTGATTTTTTGTTGAGTACAATGCTTCAACATCTCATGTGTCCAGTAGTATTGTTCACATTTTGGCAAAGAGTTTTGTTGTCTGATTTTCATTGTTTCAGGAAGAATACTTTTAGGGCTCCTAATAAAATGAGAAAGTTGGCTTTTCTGCAGTGAGAATAATGTTCTCATTGGTGTTGTAGGGGAGAACTTTAGTTTTACTGAGAAATGTAAAAAAATACATATTAATAAAGAAAATCTCTCATAAATCCTTTTATTATTTTATAAGAATCTGGTCATGGGAAAATACCACATAAGGGTAATATGTGAAAGATGGAGGTTTCCTCCTAAATGGCTGCAGCCTGCATTTTCCTCAGTGAAAATGGTCTCTATTTAGTAAACTAAATTATATCTGAATATTACAACTTACCTGTACAAATATTTCCCAATTATTTGGGGATGTGCTCTTTTTACATGGAGCCATTTTCAAGTAAAATTAGTTTGTACAGATAACTGGTATGAGAAATGGATGTTAGGTGGAGTAAGACATAGGGCATGATGAATTTGTGATTCCAGAAGGACCTCCAGGAGAGATGTCACATAGAACACTGCCAAATCTGAAGCTCAGGAGGGATAAGGTCTAGACCGGTGCTGTACAATAGTTTATTTGAAGAAGAAAATGTTCTATATATGACTTGTCCTATAGGGCAGCCATTAGCCACGTGTGGTTTGCGAGCTCTTGAAATGTGGCTAATAAGGCTGAGGAACTAAATTTTACATTTATTTAATGTTAATTAAATTGAAGTTGCCACAGTGGCTAGTGGCTACTGTATTGACCAGCATGGATATAGAAAAACAACAAGGGACTAATCTGAAGAGACCATGGTTGAAGCAATGGGATAAAAGAATAAAAGGAAAAATTAACACCAAGGAGATTCTCTTAGAAAACAAGTATGGTTAAGTGTGGTGAGAGAACAAAGAACTGGCCAAAGGAAAAAAGACATGGTTAAAGAGAAAGGAAGGTGATCAATCAGAATGAAGATGTGTTGTGAATGCGAGGGAGGAAGAGACCTTCAGGAAGACATAGTTCTCAATGCTGCTGCAAAGCTAGAGAATGAAAATTGATGTCAGGCCATTTATTGAGCTGGCATTTAGAAGGTGTGTTTTCCAAGGAATGGTGAGGGTTGATACCAAACTACTGGTGTCCAAAAGTGCTTGGGCAAACTTCACTTTTGACAAGTTTGTGGATAGATGGCAGGGCTATCTCTAAGGGAATAGTAGGGGAGGGAAAGGGGAAAGGCTTTTTTTTTTTTTTTGAGGTGGATTCTCACTCTGTTGCCCAGGCTGGAGTGCAGTGGCTTGATCTTGGCTCACTGCAATCTCTGCCTCCCCTTTCAAGGCTGAAGAAGGGTTCAAGCGATTCTCCTTCTTCAGCCTCCTGAGTAGCTGAGACTACAGTTGCCCACCACCACACTCAGCTAATTTATGTATTTTTAATGGAGATGAGGTTTCACCATGTTGGCCAGGCTGGTCTCGAACTCCTGACCTTGTGATCTGCCTGCCTCAGCCTCCCAAAGTGCTGAGATTACAGATGTGATCCACCGTGCCCTGCCAGGGAAAGTCTTTTTGTTTTGTTTTGTTCTGATTTTGTTCTGAAAGGGGACACTTAAATGCTTTATATATGTTAAGTACAAACTTCTTTCATAATTTCCAGTCCCACTCTTGCTCTCTTTGTCTTCCACAGCTTCTTTGATGTGGAAGTATTTTACCTGTAAGACTGAGATCTTCTCAACTTCTTCCCACAACTAAAATACTCTGTTCATTGCCTCTCCTTTCTTTACTTCCCCCTTCACTAAAAGTAAAGTGTCCCTTTTTGTCAAAGCTAGTTCTGTTGACTTGATCCTGCTGCCTTCCCAGACTAACATATCTCTTATCCTTCCCTCCCACATCCCTGAATCTCCCATGGCCTTTAGCACCAGACTCTTGGGGGGCCTGGAAACTTTCCAAATAAAGGGAGCTAGATTGTTCAAATCTCTTGCAGCTCTTTAGGCATGGAATTATTGTCAGAAAGGTTTCCACCCTCTAGGGAATATGGACATGAAATATTTGAGTTCCCTTTTTCTAACATTCTCCTGACTATATGCATACTCTTCTTTCCTCCCTCCATGCTATTCAGGGACCTATAGCCTCACATAGGTAAATTCATATCCATGTTTTTCTACATTGATTATTTTTTAACAAGACATGTACTTGTCCATGTTTGTCTTTTAAAAATCTATTTTAACTTAACAACTTCTTGAGAATAGACAATGTCTATAAAACACTTTGATAGGTGCTTTTTGAAAATTAATTTGTAGTTCTAATTGGTTAATACAAACTGTTTTTTTTTTTAAATAAAGCGTGTATTTCTAGTTTAATTTTTAAAGTATTGCATGTTAAATGCAAAAGGTTGGCTTTGGCGGAACCTTCGGCATAGCAACCAAGAGTAAGACTGTTGCCAGGTCATGATGAACACCCTGGATTTGTTTTCTACCTGTTACAGTGCCTAACCCCTGCAGCACTTTACCTCTTTTCTCCACAGATGTGTTAGGCCACATTAGCGGCAGAGCTGTATCTCATCCAGGAACCAGATGGGATCCTGTCCTGAGAACACTGTCATCATAATGTCCTGATTGCCGGGTGAAATGATAGGATGCCTGGAATTTCCTTTAAAAGGCTCTAACCCCTCATTTTCAAAACAAGCATATGAAGAGATAGATAGGTGGTGCATTATACTCTTCAGGTTTCTTTGATGTATGTTTAAAACTTTTTCATAATACAAAGTTTAAAAACAACATATGAAATGGCAAAAGAAAAATGATGTCTATGTTGCCCATGTGACCTTCCTGTGCTGCCTAATAGATGCCAGGATTCTCATTATTTTATTTAATAATCACAATAACCGTAAAAGGTTAGATGAGGTCTGAACAGAAGCCCAGAGGGTTTAAACTTCGTTTAACTCCGTTAAGAGCATTTCCTTGTAAGGTGTGTCATGCCTTTCTGACCCCAAACCCAGTGCCCTTTTTTTCAGCACGCATCTCCAAAATCTGTGGCATCACATTGCTTTAGCATTTTGTTTTAAAATAATTTCACTTTGTGCTAAAGACTGAAAGCTAACTATTTTAAGTCACAATAAACCGACAAATGTATATTAATGGCCTATTGTATGACAGTAAAATAATGTGCTGCTATTGTTTTAGCATCCAAGTTGAGGAGCAAACTCACTGGAAAAAAGAGTTGGATTCCACAGATAAGAAGAGGAAACATCAATTGTTTGCCAACAGGATTTATTTTTTTTCCATACAAAACAGCACATTTTAAAATTCACAAAAACTTGGAATATCTTTTTTGGTCTCTAAGTCACAACTTGAATTAATATTTGGTTTCCCTTCAAAAGTCTGGTTTATCCCCTCAAGTGCATCTTGCTCTTTTTCATGCTTCTTAGTAGGAGTCTAAAAACGTGAACAATAGAAATCAATTGTAATGAACTTAAAGGTGACATAGGCCAATGCCATTGTCAAACTGGTCATTGAAAAACACTGAAAAATTAAGTAAAATTTTATACTTTGAGGAGCCATTTTCATAGTTTGTCACCAGAGAAGTTTCTTTGAATGTGGAATGTACCAGAAAGCATGAGGAGGAAGTATAGTGCTCTCTCCTTAGCTGTGAAATTGGCTCTGTGTTGCTTCATTGCAACCGCCATTTTTTGTTGATGGCCAGTCTTCTCTTCCTTTGGGAGGGTAATAAGGGGAGGATGCAGTCTGAGTGGTTTAGTAAAAGTATAAATTTCTCTTTAAGCTAGGTGCATTTTGCTGGCTTACACTATTCATATAAAACTTTTAAAAAGATAGTTATTAAATATGTTTAAGAATAAAATGTAGACCAGGATGTCTAGACCATAGTGAATTTAAATTTTAATTGACTGAAATAAGTGAAATGCCACTGTACCACACCACTTACAACTTTTATCACCTTAACATTGTTTACAAGTGCCTAGTACAATCTTTAACCTCTTTTTTGTTTCCTTCTCTCTTCCGAACAGTTTCAGGGACACTCTTGAAAGTCACTGGGCTAATACTTATAGAACGGCCCTCTCTTAGGTACTTCGTTCCTCAAGATCTTCCCTCCTTTTGGCCTCAGTGATCCTCAGGAGACCTCTCCTAGTGTAGTGGTGATGGAGGGTTTGTTCTGAAGCTCATTTGACCTGCAATATCTTTTGGTTTGCAGGTGAGGTTACAAATGCCGACAAAGTAGTGGAGTATGTTTCTTTGCAAAACTAACTGATCCAGCTAAGATTTAAAATGACTTCATAAGTACTGCATCAACCTGTCATAGACCAGCTTCAACACAATGAAGGGCTCAAAGTGACTCATATCATAAGGCTGTCAACAGAGAAATGCTTTTTTCCAAACTCTGTATGTAAGAGAGAAAGCAGGGTACTGATGAAAACTGTTGAAATTCTTTTGCTGTGATAATACATAATCAAAAGAGGACATAAATTTGATGAAATAAGAACACTGTCACTTGAATCTTTTCAGCTAACATGTAATCCTATCTGTGGATATAGTCTTGTGCTCCAATAATGTATATGTTTGTATTGGCAGGAAAGGACTTCTGTAGACCTTTCCAAACAGCAGCCATTAATCTCTAGAATACTTACTTCGAGGTTAAACATTTCCTCATCAAGGGCCTGAAAGTAAACATGAAGCAATGTTCACAAATTTAAGCAGCCTCTGGGTTGTCCCTTTACCCTTCAAAAAATAGAAATAATGAGAGTACATTTACAAGTCATGGTTCTATGAGGATCAGTTAATTTATGAGGAAAATCAGCTGTAAACCAAGAGTTTGCATGTTCCTCAGCAGATGAAGGAAACAGTCTCACATGCTCAAAAGACATGAAAGTAAGTGACCCTTGAAGAGTGGAGGGAATGGGATCTTAACATTACTGTTTTTAACCTCAAATGGGTCTGCCCCAATATGGCATGTTATAATTCCTGCCGACTGGGAATAATAATAATAATTAAAATACATATATATATTTTATGTGTATATATGTTATGTAAAAATCTGTATATGTATACATATATATTCAATTAGCAAACTTTTTTTTTTTGAGACGGAGTTTCGCTGTTGTTACCCAGACTGGAGTGCAATGGCATGATCTCGGCTCACCACAACCTCTGCCTTCTGGGTTCAAGCAATTCTCCTGCCTCAGCCTCCCGAGTAGCTGGGACTACAGGTGTGCACCACCATGCCCAGCTAATTTTTGTGTTTTTTTAGTAGAGACAGGGTTTCACCTTGTTGACCAGGATGGTCTCGGTCTCTTGACCTCGTGAACCACCCTCCTCGGCCTCCCAAAGTGCTGGGATTATAGGCATGAGCCACCGTGCCCAGCCAGCAAACTTTTTAAACCTACAAACAATGTGTAAGATGAGTTGTGTTCCAAAGTAATGAAAATATGCATGTCTTGGTTTTTCTTTAATGGAATGTAAATTCCTAGTTTTGAGTTTACAAAAGATAAGCATTTGAGTACTGATAAAATCAATGTTGCATATAGAATATGAGCCTTGTTTGTAATCTTTGCAATATCTAACATGATTTATTTATAGATGGTTGTGGCATAACAAGTCAGCCCGAAGTGCCCGGCATGCTGACTACAAAATACCTGAGCAAAGACCTTCCTTGAAAAGAAACTTACAAATCCTGACTGGGAGACACTTACAGGGTCACTGAAGAGTCCAGCACGGGAAGCTTTGAACATTGCACTTTCTCTCCAGAACTAATTGTTTAAGAGACATAGGCTTCCCTTTGTAGCCTGTGAGACAGGACATAGGTGGTTGTTAAGATCCCATTCCCTCCTGAGTGTCACTGCCTCAGTGCAATTATCTTCTCTGATACCATACTGTTGTCCACCTACAACAGAGAGAAGATAAACAGCCTGGACATTCTCATTTATTATCTATCACCACATGATAGTGGATTCAACTAACAAGGGTATAATTGACAGGCAATTATGGAATTCCAGGCAATGGAGAGAATGTAGAAGAGTAAGCCACGTAGTCTCTGAAGTCACATAGCTGGAGAGACATGATCTCCACTGCCACTGCTTTACTTCAGGGATCCTCACCACTGCTCACATGGTTTATTGCAACAGACTGTTAATTGGTATGCCCTTCCGGCAGTCTTGTTCCCCTTTGGCTAATTCCCCAGATCACAGCAAGAGTTAGCTTTTTAAAATACAAAATTGAGCAAGTCTCTCTTCTGCATGGGCTTTCATGGAATGACCCCTGCTCAACACTGCTCACCACTTCGGCCTTATCTTTCACTACATTTCCTCAATTTGTGGTCCAGTGACCTGTCTGCAGTCCCCTGAATATTTCCTGTCTTAAATAGTGTTGGGAGCCTCTTATTGGAGAGTATTCTCTTTATGCATTATGCAAATGATTTTAAAGAAAAGGCACTAATATTGCGTGTGTTCCAGCTTGGCTGCTGAATATAGTGTGTTTATTCTCTTCATTGATTTTTGTCCTGCTTTATTTTTTATGTTGTTTCCACATCCAAGTCAAGGTCATAAGGTAGAGAAAGAAATTCTCTATACAAACACTTACTGTTAAGCTAGTACTTAAAAGCTCATTCCATTATTTGTTGTATAATAACTTGCTTGCATATTTCGTCAAGGACTCGGGGGAAAGGACTTTTGTTCTGTCCAGGTATTAGAAACTTTTATCTTTTGATAAAGTGTCACTTCAATTTCTCTTCAAGGTGGAGTCTTACTGTAATCACATTCTCAGGAATTATGTTGTAATTATAAAACAAGACAAGTATATGGGTGGAATCATGCTCTAATTCAGTAGTAAACTGTGTTCAAAAATTAGGCAAAACATTAAAATATAATTCTAGGAGTAAAGTTTATATATTTAAATTTTTTTGGCCTGGCATCGTGGCTCACACCTGTAATCCCAGTACTTTGGGAGGCCGAGGAAGGTGGATCACTTGAGGTCAGGAGCTCGAGACCAGCCTGGCCACATGGTGAAATCCCATCTCTACTAAAAATACAAAATACCTGGCATGGTGGTGGGTGCCTGTAATCCCAGTTAATCAGGAGGCTGAGGCAGGAGAATCACTTGAACCTCGGAAGTAGAGGTTGCAGTGAGCCAAGATTGTGCCACTGCACTCCTGCCTGGGTGACAGAATGAGACTCCATCTCAAACATATTATATATATTGTTCTGAAATCAGCCTTTTTCTGATTTCAAATATGGCTTGGAAATTTTACCTATTAGTGTAACCAGGGTGGGGCGCAGGGGCTCAGCTCCCTCCCATGCTTGCCAAAGACGTTACCCAGGGATGGGAGCAGAGCTGTGGGAGCTCCCAGAACTTCCTGTTCTCCAATCCATATGTTTTCCCCGATGTGCCTAGGTCTTTGACCTCTCTTACCCCAGGAATGGGGAAGGGGTCCCGGAGGTGTGGTGAGCTTACCACTGGAATAAATATCTTGGACCCAAAGAGTTTAGCAGATAGTGATTTATTAGGCAGAGAGATATTTATTAGGCAGAGAGAAAGAGAGAAGGAGAGAGAGAGCTCCTATGCTGCCATGGGAGGGGATCCAAGGGAGGATCCCACTCCTGACCTCAAGTGATCCACCCTCCTTGGACTTCCAAAGTGCTAGGATTACAGGTGTGAGCCACCTATCCCTGTAGGTAAGGAGCAGTGTGTTTTTAACCTTGGAGTTATTCCCATCCTATTCAAGTTCTCATCCAATGAGAGGAGTTCTTTCAAACTTCAGCTGGAGTGATTGATCTTCCACTTTCATATAGGATTGGCTGCCCAGCCCACAATCAGAGCCCCCTCCTTCCAGAGCTTTGGGTGGGGGAGCTTTTTGGAACACAGAAGCTCACTTGGAATTTCTACCTAGCCCACCGGAAAGTCAGACAAAGAACGTGAGGCTCCCTGATGGGGGTGTGGATGGAGGCATGGTGCTGGGAAGCTCCTGCCTTTGAAACCAGCCCCTGGTGGACCCACACAGTCCCTCATTAGTACACATAGAGATTTTACGTTCATTTCAGTGACTTTAGAGTGTATGATATTTGGGTTCATAGTGCAGTGTCCTGTTGCAGAACATTTAAGTTGTACACAGTTTTCACTATCATAATCAGTGCTCCATTAGTACATTATGTTTATATATTACGACACAGATAAGAGTATTTCTCTTGATTAAATTCTCAGAATTGAAATTGCTAAGTCAAATGGTATATCAATTTATGATAGATTTTGCAAAGTTGCCCTTCATAGGCCTGGTTTCTCACATTCCTGCCAACACAGTACATTATCAGTTGTTTTACCAATTTGATGTTGTAAGTCCTTTGCCAATCTGATAGATGAAATGAGTATTTCCCAGTAGTTTTAATTTACATTTCTCTTACGAGTGAGGTTGAACATCTTTTCAATTGTTGTTAGAAATATTTATATTTCTTTTTCTGTGACTAGTCTGTTCTTCTCTTTGCCTGTTTTTCCATTGGATTGTTAGTCTTTTACTGATTAATGAGAGCTTTTTTTATGTAACAAAGCAATTAGTTCTCTTTGATGTGAGACATAAATCAAATATTTTTTCATATCTCATTTTTATTTTGACTTTATTTTGGCATTTTTTGTTATGCAGAATTTATTATTACTATTATTGGTCAGATATCAATCTTTCGTTTTATGGCTTCTGATACAGATTAAAATTTGAAAGGCCTTCCCACTCTTAGATTATGCAAAATTTCTTTCAA